ATAGTAATACGGATGCTGAAATCTTTTTTCATCTACATAAGTTCCAGGAAGATCCCCGGAGAAGGTCAGTAACTGTCAATTCCAGCCAAAGACTTTCATAAAACCAATAAATGTATGGGTTATAGTGTTTCTTTCATTTTGCACGGTATTGCAATATATATGAAAACTCACCTCTTCCAGACGACCTTCAACAGACAATTATAAAAGTGAAAGTAGAAGTTCAAAAGCATTTTATATAGTCACACAGATAACGATGGTTAAAGGTGAAATTTATTTAACAAACTCACCTTTTCCAAACGACCCTTGAATGCTGCAGCTTTACAGATAATTGTGAAAATGAAAGTAGCCGACACCTTATCATGGTGGAGGGGTTTGCGTGTTCCAGTGATCCCAGGGGCTAAGTTGCCTCGGACTTTATACCCCTGGTAGGGTCACCCAAGGCAAACAGGTCCTGGGTGAGGATCCAGATGAAGTGCAACTCATTAGACCTCTTATGATGAGTTATAACATGGATCCATGGGGCCAAAGGGGTCGGGTGCAGTGTGAGTTAGGCAGTGGCCCAAGACAGAAGCTAGCTCAAGGGACATGGAATGTCACCTCTCTGACGGGGAAGAAGCCTGAGCTGGTGCGTGAGGTTGTGAGGTTCTGACTAGATATAGCCTGGCTCACTTCGATGCATTGCTTGGCTCTGGAACCAGTCTCCTCGAGGGGGGTTGGACCCTCTTCCACTCTGGAGTTGCCCGCGGGAAGAGGTGCCAAGCAGGGGTGGGCATACTTATTGCCCCTGGCTGGGCGCCTGTGTGTTGGGGTAGCCTCCCTTCACCATTGGGTGGGGGGACAGGCCCTGACTGTTGTTTGTGCTTATGCACCAAACAGAAGTTCAGAATACCCACCCTTTTTGGAGTCCTTGGAAGTCGTGTTGGAGAGCACTCCTCCTGGGGACTCTCTTGTTCTGCTGGGGGACTTCAATGCTCACGTGGGCAATGACAGTGAGACCTGGAGGAACCCGCTGGTGGACACCGGCTGTGAGGGATGCCGTCAAGCTGAATAAGGAGTCCTATCAAGCCTTTTTGTCCTGTGGGACTCCAGAGGCAGCTGATGAGTACCGGTGGGCCAAGCGGAATGAGGCTTTGGCAGTTGTGGAGGCAAAAACTTGGGTGTGGGAGGAGTTTGGCAAAGTCATGGAGGATGACTTCCAGACAGCTTCAAGGAGATTCTGGTCCACCATCCAGCGGCTCAGGGCGGGATAGCGGTGCTGCATCAACACTGTTTATGGTGGGGATGGGGCGCTGCTGTCCTCAGCTCGGGTCGTTTTGGGTCAGTGGAAGGAGTACTTCGAAGACCTCCTCAATCCCAACGACATGTCTTCCAAAGAGGAAGCAGAGTCTGGGGACTTGGGGGAGGACTCCCCTGTATCTGGGGCGGAGGTCGCTGAGGTGATTAAAAAGCTCCTCGGTGGCTGAACCCCGGGGGTGGATGAGATCCGCCTGGAGTTCCTCAAGGCTCTGGATGTTGCAGGGCTGTCCTGGTTGACACCCATCTGCAGCATGGCGTGGACATCAGGGGCGGTGCCTCTGGATTGGCAGACTGAGGTGGTGGTCCCCCTCTTCAAGAAGTGGGACTGGAGGGTGTGTTCCAACTATAGGGGGATCACACTCCTCAGCCTCCCTGGTAAGGTCTGTTCGGGGGTCCTGGAGAGGGGGGTCCGCCGGATTGTCGAACCTCGGGTTCAGGAGGAGCAGTGTGGTTTTCACCCTGGCCGTGGAACAGTGGACCAGCTCTATACTCTCCGCAGGGTTCTGGAGGGTGCGTGGGAGTTTGCCCAACCAGTCCACATGTGTTTTGTGGACTTGGAGAAGGCATTCGATCGTGTCCCTAGGGGAGTCCTGTCGGGGGTGCTCTGGGAGTATGGGGTACTAGGCTTCCTTATCAGGGCTGTTCTGTCCCTGTATGACTTTTGTCAGAGCTTGGTCCGCTTTGATGGCAGTAAGTCAGACTCGTTTCCGGTGAGGGTTGGACTTCGCCAGGGCTGCCCTTTGTCACCAATATTACCCATAATTTTTATGGACAGAATTTCTAGGCGCAGCCAGGGCGTTGAGGGTGTCCGGTTTGGTGACCTCAGGATTAGGTCTCTGCTTTTTGCAGATGATGTGGTTCTGTTGGCCTCATCAGACCGTGACCTTCGGCTCTCACTGGAGCAATTCGCAGCCGAATGTGAAACGGCTGGGATGAAAATCAGCACCTCTAAATCTGAGACTATGGTCCTCAGCCAGCAAAGGATGGAGTGCTCTCTCCAGGTCAAGGAGGGGGTCCTTCCCCAAATAGGAGTTTAAGTATCTCGGGGACTTGTTCACGAGTGAGGGAAGGATGGAGCGGAAGATTGACAGGGGGATCGGTGTGGCGTCAGCAGTGAAGCAAAAGGGGGAAGAAACTCCAAGCTTCCCCAACTTGTGCACAAACAGTTATAGCTTTATAAAATAGTTGCAGTAGACAGTATATAATATGTTATGCGGTAGTGCAAATGTATAAGTAATCATGTTAATCATACTAATCATATGTTAACCATTTATTTGCAGTGATTCAATGACAATATGTCAATGTGTTAATCATTAATCAATGGAACACCCAAACATTAACAGTGATGCAATGTCATATACTCACCTAAAGGATTATTAGGAACACCATACTAATACGGTGTTTGACCCCCTTTCGCCTTCAGAACTGCCTTAATTCTATGTGGCATT